CCTTTGCCTACCTCCTCACCTACATGGCTTCCTTCAACTTGGTCTACCTATTCACTATCCGCATTCATGGCGCCTTGGGCTTCCTAGGTGGTGTCCTGGTGGCACTCAAGCAAACCATGGGGGACTGCGTGGTCCTGCGAGTGCCCCAGGTGCGTGTCAGTGTAGTGCCCATGCTGCTACTGGCGCTGCTGCTATTGCTGCGGCTTGCCACATTGCTCCAGAGCCCAGCGCTGGCTTCCTATGGCTTCGGGCTGCTCTCCAGTTGGGTGTATCTTCGCTTCTACCAGCGCCATAGCCGGGGCCGAGGAGACATGGCTGACCACTTTGCTTTCGCCACTTTCTTCCCTGAGATCCTCCAACCTGTGGTGGGGCTGTTGGCGAATTTAGTGCACAGCCTCCTAGTGAAGGTAAAGATATGCCAGAAGACAGTGAAGCGCTACGATGTGGGCGCCCCATCCTCCATCACCATCAGCCTCCCAGGCACAGACCCTCAAGATGCGGAGCGGAGAAGGTACTGTGAAATCTTCCAAAATCTTGTCAAGCTAATATTGGTCGAGTCACACGCCATCTGTTGAGGTTTTTGCTGTACATAAGCTGGAGATCTAGAGTCAGGTATTGGGGCAGATTCAGAAAGAGATAAAATTAAGTCTTTGGCCTTGAGGAATTCAGCATTTAGGTGTGTCGGCTTTAGGAGGTACTTTTATCACCCCTCAGGCCACTTAATGAGTTGAGAAATGCAGTTTCCTTTGGTGCTGTGTGAGGGGTTGATGGAGGTACACATAACCCTGGCCTTGCCTCAAAATCTCAGACTCCTAGACACTCATCCTGTGGGAGCCGGAAAACTTGCTGGTCCTTTTTCCCCTGTGAGGGAGGGACAGGGAAGGAGGCTTGGGATCCTTAAAAGGTGGTCTGGGCCACTCTAATTTTCAAATTCTGAACTATGTCCTCTTCCTGGGCCTAATTCAGATACTGTGCTTCTCTGCCACTTATTTACTTTTTGAAAGGGAAGCTTGGGGTATTACCAGATTTACCCACCCCCTAGCAGGCATGTGTCACCAAACCCAGAGGGCAGGCTACATGACCCACTGAGGGAGCCTGCTGACCACACCAGAGAGTGGAGACTGACCTTTTCGTTATCTGTAAACCAAGCCATCTGCAGCATCAGGAGTCCTGGCTGAATTATTCACTGGATGCACTTTGGCCAAAGCAGGACAGATGTTTTTTAATTCAGCTCTTACTCTCTCTGCCAGATCTATGGACTCATCCGAGCGGTCCCAGCTTCTTTAAGATCCACAGCTCTGTTTCCAACATTATCCTTGAGTTTTTTTTTTGTTGTTGTTTTTTTTTTTTTTGAGACAGTCTCAGTCTGTTGCCTGGGCTAGAGTCCTGTGGCGTCATCCTAGCTCACAGCAACCTCAAACTCCTGGGCTCAAGCAATCCTGCCTCAGCCTCCCGAGTAGCTGGGACTACAGGCATGCGCCACCATGCCAGGCTAGTTTTTTCTATATATTTTTAGTTGTCCAATTAATTTCTTTCTATTTTTGGTAGAGACGGGGTCTTGCTCTTGCTCAGGCTGGTTTCGAACTCCTGAGCTCAAACAATCCGCCTGCCTCGGCCTCCCAGAGAGCTAGGATTACAGGCATGAGCCACCGCGCCCGGCCTATATCCTTGAGTTTTTTGAGGCAATTACTTGAGTAGTGAAATCTAGGGCAGGCTTTGTTCCTTTGCATTTGTCAAGGCTCCTGCTTTTGCTCATCTGTGAAATGGGTTCTTGGCGGGAAGCTTTATGCTTTCAACTAAAGAGTTACCCCTCTCTTTACTCTCCACTGGGGCTGTGGAGTTGAGTGTGGGACACATCCCTTTCTCAAAGGAGTTTCCAGCTGGGGAAGGGCCACAGATTGCCATGCTCCAAGGTGCTAGGTGTTAAAAAATACATATAGCATGCTGCAGGGTATAATTCTGGGCCTTACAGCTTGGGTTTTTATGGGTAATAAGTCTCAAAGACGTGTCTCTCCTAACCTGATTCAATACAAGAGATGGGGCCTGGTAGGAACTGACCTGCCCTCAGAGCTATTCAGGTGGGGCCAGGCCAGTGGTGACACCTCCTCCAGTGAAAGGTCTTGGATTGTTAGGGTTGGCTGGACATTCAGAAAACTTACCCAGGCCCAAGAAAATGGATGGGGAGGCAGGTTTGGGGTGAGAGGAGTGGGGCAGGTCAAGAGGTGAGTTCTTGACAGAGCCTTACCATTGTTAGCTTACATGGAATTGGGGGTTACTTCAATCAGTTTGATATCTGACTGCATGCTACTCCCAATCCCAAAGGGCTACTAATAGAGGGAGGCAGGGTTTCCTATCTGTCTCTTTGACCCTTGTGAGGAAATGACTAGCATGGCACTTACCTCTTTGCCTTGGCAGGCTTTAGAACTGGCAAGGGCATCTTCAGGAGCCTGGGCAGCAGCAGGGAAGGACTGTCCTGTCTGTACCTACTTGTCTTGTGCCAGATTGGCAGGCTGAGTGGAAGTGTGCTGGAGCTTTCTATGCCTGTGTCCTTGGTGCCTCTCCTGTCATGTTCTTGGCATGGTGAAGATTTTGTTTCTCTGTTAGAACCTGGCAGGCTACACAGGCTATGCCCACATTGGTGGCACAGAGAAGCTGAGGCATCAGGAGTCCACAGTGGCCACTGTTGGAAGTGTTTCCTGGCAGTATGGGCACTCCCATCTTGTGGGGCAGGATCCCAAGCACATGTGTATACCTTCTTCTAGAGGGCTTTCCCATCTTCCCCCAAAGTGGAGCCTCCAAGGGTCTGCCCTATGGAATCAGTAGACTCTAGCCTATGCCATACCCATGAGGGCTGTTTCTTCTCTTGCTCTTCCTGCAAGGACCCTGCTAAGTCTCTGCTGTAACACGGGTCTTGGTGGCTTTGGGGATTCTTCTGGGAAGGAGGATATTAGAGTCAGGAGGGGTACACTGACCCAAGTCAGCCCTGCTTCCTGGGCTGAGAGCCAAGGGAGGTGCTGAGTTCCAGCCTTCCCCATAGACCCTTGCCAGGAGGCTCAAGACAGTCCCCTAAGCAGGAGAGGGGGAGAATAACCCTCTCCTTGGATGTGATGCCAGTGCCAGACAGAAACTCACATCTCCAGGGACTTGCCATTCTACCCATCTGCTCTAGAGCACCAGCTCCACCCACCCTTAGGCACCACCCTCAGAACCACTCCTGGTGACTGGCATGGTGGACAATCTGGCAGATATCTAGCTGGCCTTCTCAGCCTAGAGGTGCCTCAGCGATGGAGGGAAGACTCTGTAGCCTTTGGGTTCTCATTCTGATGGCAGAGTGAGCCCTAATCCAATTCCTGGGGAGCCCCAGGCCCTGCATGGGGATGGGGGAAACATGGGATTCTGGAGGAGAAATCTAAGTGGTAGGGGGAGGAGTCAGCCTGTTGTGGAAGGGTGTAAGGCATGGGCCAAGCCCAAACCCAGAGTGACTTTGTCCTCTCTCTTCTGGCCCCAGGCAACTGGCCTTGAAGGCCCTCAATGAGCGACTGAAGAGAGTGGAGGATCAGTCCGTCTGGCCCAGCATGGATGACGATGAAGAGGAGGCTGGGGCCAAGGTGGACAGCCCCCTGCCCTCAGACAAAGCTCCCATGCCCCCAGGGAAGGGGACTACACCAGAATCCAGTCTAATCACCTTCGAGGCAGCTCCCCCGAAGCTGTAACTCCAGACCACCTTGAGTGTAGCATCTCCTCTCCCAAACCTCCCTTGACACCCTCTCAGCTACTCCAGGGCACTGGCCGCTCTGAGGAGAGGGAAGAAGGCCTGCTGGGGGTTTCCGTGGCCTTCTGCTGTTTCTCGCCAACACTACCCAGGACTCTTGCTACCTGGTTCCAACTCCAGACAACCACTATGCCAGGCATGGGGCCCCTGAGGCATGAGCCAGTCCAGGCCCCTGTCTGAGGTAGACTGTACCTCAGCAGAAAGCCCCAAGCGAATGGTTGCAAGGACACCAGTGCCACAGCTCCTGGGCCAGCCCTTACATCTGAAACTGGTTGCTGAGAGCCCTGAGCCAAGGCAAAGATTTGCCAAAAATGTTCTGGGGGCCCAGCCAGTGCAAGAGCCAATGCAGGCCTGCACATCCCTACCCACCCCTGGAAAGACTATGTTCATGTTGGGATTTCTTGTTTCCCTCTGCTGTGGCGTGACTGCTTCTGAGCCAGAACAGCCACAGTTCCCAGGTATTTTCTACAGGACCACTTGAGCGGGCAGCCAAGCCCAGCCTCGCAGTATCAATAAAGCAGTTCTTTGAGGTATGACTCCTGGGCTCTGTCAGGCCACCTTGTGCAGCTCCTTCATCATCACACTCAACTGCAAAGTTAGACGGGGACTTTACTCCGGGTTCAAAGGCTCAGTCCCCAAGGTTACTCTAGCTGGATAAGAAGCCCATTACCCCAGCTCCCCTTCCCCCTCCCACCACATGCCTACTGCCAAGCACCTTCCCAAAGCTGTCACCTCAGACCATCACCCCTTTTTTCCCCTCACTCTCTAATCCCCAGTCAGGGAGGCCCTCTGCCCCTCCCCAGAGGATCTGGTGGTTGACAGCCTCTCTATTGTAAGTTGTTTTTATCCATGGCTCACCTTCAAGACAGAGTCCTTGGTGCCTGACACCAATGGAGACAACCCATGTCCAGCTTCCGTCCTGTCATTGTGTCTGTGGAACCACCACAGTCTAAAGACTCCAGCATAGTGGGCAGCTGAGAGATGGGAAGGACACATAGCTGTACCATTCACCACTATAGCTGCAGGGCCTGCTAGGGCACCCTGGCTGGCATGGGAAGCTCAGCAGCCAGATCCTGGAGATTTGTGCTAGGAGAGCTTCAGCCCCTCAGTGAGCAGCCAGGGACAGGGGGTCCCCATCTTGCCCAGGTGCCCGTTTTCTCATGCTGATGGCATCAACAAGAACCATCCCCAACTCTGGGCTGCTCCTTCCATCAGTCTTTTCAGTCTTTTTTTTAATTTTATTTTTTATCCTGAAATTTCTGAACATACCAGTACAAGTGTGAGCTGCATTGCTGGGGAGGCAATCTTGCAAACCCAGCTTCATCCAGATACATGATCTGTATGTTCCTCTGGGATGATGGAAAGAAGAGAAGGAAAAGGGAGACACTCTGGCATAAGAAGCAAAAATATCACACATGGGTCTTCTCCTACCCTTGACTGAGCCAGTGCCTGAGATGTCGAAGTCAGCTGAAAGAGTCCAGGGGGTCCCAGCCCCAGCTCCTACAGTAAAGGGCAAATCCAGGTCTCCCCTATGCTGGGAGGAGCTCATGGTTGGATCCTTTTGCGGTATAGGTAGGCATTGCTCACCTGGTTCATAATGACCAAGCTGGTGAGGACAGGGCATAGCACAGCGAGGTACCAGGCTCCGCCAGTGACGGTGGCAGTGAACCAGAGTGAGCACATGCCCAACAAGAGGCTGGCACTACCCAGCAGGTAGCCCACCAGCCCAGAAGTGGCATGGTATAGCTTCAGCTTTGCCAGGGGCCATCGGGGCAGTAATTTGGGGTAGAGTAGCCCCACCCCACCGCAGCACTGCAGCCCTGCCCACAGCACAGCTAGCAGCCCTGCCTGCCCATGCCGTGTGGCCAGATGGGCTTTGCCAAGTTGTTCTTTGTGGAGGATGACAAGGCTGAAGCCCAGCAGTGCACATAGCAGAGCCACGAGCTGCAGCATCCAGTGGCAGCGTGCTCGGCCCTTCCGTGAGAGGGAGCGCAGCAGTGAACTCTCAGGAGAGAACACCAGTAGTGCCTCGGTCATCAGGAAGGAGAACTGAGGAGACAGGATGGGAAACTTAAGTGAGGGTGCTGCCCCAGCAGAAGGAAAAAGGGCTCTAGATAACTTTCTAAGCTGTCAGTGATTCTGGACTGATTCCCTTTTTTTATTATCTTCCCATTGACAAGACTATCCATTTGGTGGGCAAGAATAGAAAACTCCATCTGGGACGGTATATCTGTCCTGAGTAAACAGAGATGTCTCTCCACACTTCTTAGGTGCTATTCTGAAATGTCATCTCTGCCATGTTACCCAGCAAACACAAGGTTTAGATTGTGGCAGTTATAAATGATTCACAAGCTTTGTTCCCTATCATGGGGCTAGATACAATTTCTTGGCAAGATTTGGCCACATGGGTGCACTGTTTCAGAGAAAGTTAAGTGCATCACCATAAATTAAGGTACAAAGGGACAGAGGTACATCCAAATGCAATCTCTCAGCTTCCTGCCTTGAAGTAGGTAAAGCCTCATTTTGTGTTTAGACAAACATGCATTTGTCCTGGGTCTTGAATATTCTGGTTCAAGTCTCGGATATACATCACAGGCAGGAATTGGAGCATGCAACTCCTCCAAAAGAATATTAAGTGTCAACAAGGATTAGAGGTTGCCAGGGCCACCACCTATGCCCATGCTCCCACCCCTAAGAGTTGCCCACTACTTACAGCCAGAGACATAAGCACAGGGTGCCAGGAGAACAGGCCTAGAATAAGAAAAGGAGACCTAGTGGGGCTGAGGCAAGAAGAAACCAGTCATAACAATCCTTAAAGGCTGAAGAATACCGGCAGTCCATCACCCAAGGAGGTGCTGCCAAAATGCAAGCTGTCTCTTGCTGCAACAAGCTGACCCCACACCTATCCATTCTTCGCAGCCTCTTCCTGGATCAGAGGCCATGCTTTGCCACTCCTCTGGTAGTCCTCCCATCTTCCTCAGCACCTCCCGAGACGCAACCACATGGAGCACCCACACAAGGAAAGAGAAACCAGGTACTCTGTGGGGTCTGGCCAGGCTGGCAGAAGCTCCACACCCAACTGCACCACCCACACATCCCTCCAGCACAGAATATCCCTCAGCCAACCCTCAGCCAGCCAGGCCTGTTACCAGGAGTTATGCCCAAGGCTTCCTACTGCCCCTGTTCCCCAGGAAAACTGACCTTGCCCTCTCCAGAAGTCAACTATGAATTCTACTTACTGGAGCCAGGCCTCGCAAGCACAGCCACAAAGATGGTAAAGCCCAGGGCCACAAAGTGGGCGGCAGCCCCAGAGGCAGTGCGCAGAGCTCGGTAGATGTGTGACTCGGTCTCCGCAGAAAGGGCCATGGTCAGCCGGGCTGGCGACTGTAGCCTGAAAGCATAGTAGTGTGGGCAAAGGTCTCAGGTGCCCACTGTCCACTCCTCTCACTGGACAAAAGGTTACAGGGCAGGAATGCCACCCTTTTCCAAGAAGTTATGGTAGAAACCCTACCAAGACCAGCACTAGGAATAGTCACAGCATGCTAGTCGAAGACCGGCGGCCTGTCAGCGTGTACCTTTATCTGAACCGGTACTAATAATCCCTGATCCACCTTCCAGGTAGGATGCGCAAGGCCATGGAAGACTACAAATCCCAGCGTGCATCACGCCGTCACCGACGGGAGCGCCACCTGGGAGGGCGTGGAGCACGATGGGGATTGTAGTCCCCAGCTCCGGTCCCAGTAACAGCGTGAATCCCTTCGCGCACTGCCTCCCTAAATGCCGGTGGCATGCTCCCCCTCCATGCTAGGGATCTGCCTGCCTCACCAACAGCGCCGCCCTGATGCAGTGGTTTTCTCCAAAGAAAGCTGGATATTCAGGGCCCTGCCGCGCACGCTGCCGCTCTGTCGCGGAGGCACTTCACTTCCGGGTGCGATGTCTACCCACCCTGCACTTCCTGAGACGAGCCCCTCACCTCCCCAGCCACGCCTCTGAGTCCCGCTGCGCAGGCGCTATTGAGCCGAAGGCTTCGCTGGCGTGTGCGCGCTTAATTCTGCGTGACCCGGCGGCCCAGGCCTGCGGGCTGTCTCCGACAGGTGTTCCCAGGGGTGGGGCGCCTCTGCACGCTAGGGACGAAGAGCCACGGATCCAGGTCCTGCTAGCATCATGGGCAGCGGCTGCCGCATAGAATGCATATTCTTCAGCGAGTTCCACCCCACGCTGGGACCCAAGATAACCTATCAGGTGCCACCTGGGCTCACGGGACTGGGCGGGGAGACAGGCGTTCTCGGGAGCTCAGCCGGCTGCCTGGAGGCGGTAAATCCCCGTGCTGCATGTGGGCACACCACTCCTTCATTCGCGAACAACCGTGAGCAGAGAGGATACTCAGATCCAGGTCCCCGGCTCCTGGTGTGGCGGGGTGGGAGGACATAGCGCACATAGGCAGTGTTGGTAGGAAATCGGGCTGTGGGGGTCCGATGGGTGGCCCATGAATATCCCTGGATTAAGACTTAAATGAAGCATAGGAAGTTAGGTGAGGGAGGAGAGAATGTTCCAGATAAAGGGAACAGCATATGCAAAAGCCAGGAAGCAGATGAGAACACAGCATGTGTTTGGAAACATAAAATAGTAGTAGGCCTAGGTGGATGGGAGTGAAGGAAACGCTGGAGAACAGGGCTTGGGCCTGGGGTGAGGAGGGTACCCTTTGTACTACACCCACTACCCATGTCCACTGAGGAGCCTGTTGCCACACACACCCCTCCCCCAGGTCCCTGAGGACTTCATCTCCCGGGAGCTGTTTGACACGGTCCAAGTGTACATCATCACCAAGCCAGAGCTGCAAAACAAGCTCATCACTGTGTGAGGCCCTAGCTGAGGGTGGGGGGGATTCCCAGGAGAAGGGAATAGGCTTGGGGGCAGGCCTGACTCTTTTCCACCCATCCAGCACAGCCATGGAAAAGAAGCTGATCGGCTGTCCTGTGTGCATTGAACACAAGAAGTACAGCCGCAATGCCCTCCTCTTCAACCTGGGCTTTGTGTGTGATGCCCAGGCCAAGACCTGTGCCCTCGAGCCCATCGTTAAAAAGCTGGCTGGCTACCTGACCACACTGGAGGTCTGCAAATGATATGGGCTTGGGTGTATAGGCAGGCAGAGTTGGGGAAAGTGTTCCCATGTCTCCAAAATCCCCCAGACCTGGGACCCTGTTAGCCATCTCGGGACCCAGACAGGGCAGCCAGCCAGCAGGGATCTTGGGTTGTACCCACCATGTCCGTACTCTATCCAGCTAGAGAGCAGCTTCGTGTCCACGGAGGAGAGCAAGCAGAAGTTGGTGCCCATCATGACCATCTTGCTGGAGGAGCTAAATGCTTCAGGCCGGTGCACTCTGCCCATTGGTATGGCCCAGCCTCTGCAAGGACAGCAGAGGGGTAGAGGAGGGATGGAAAAGTGGCAGGGGAAAGTAGGGGAGAAGGACAAGACACATCAATGAACTGGTGGCCAGAAAATAGCCATGGGCTGAGGTGTTGATGTCCAGGGTCTGGTGCATGATGGGGATGGGGGAGCCAGTAGAGCTCTCCAGCTCTGCGCCTTGGGCATATTCCTTTCCCCCTCTGGACCTCAGTTTCTCGCTCCATAAAAGGGGAAGATTGACCCTGCCCAGAGCCACTTGACTGCCTCAAGGGATGCTGGGAGGCCTGGATGGTAATTGAGAGCCACTTAGAAGAAGTGGCACTGAAGATATGGGTGGGGCCCCTGCAGATGAGTCCAACACCATCCACTTGAAGGTGATAGAGCAGCGTCCAGACCCTCCTGTGGCCCAGGAATATGATGTGCCTGTCTTTACCAAGGACAAGGAGGAGTTCTTCAACTCACAGTGGGACCTCACTACACAACAGGTATGCCATCTCTCCCTGGGTATCACCTAGGGCTGGCTACAGCCCTGGCCTCATCCTTCTTCCTCTGACCCTGCCCTACTCTGCCCAGATCCTGCCCTACATTGATGGTTTCCGCCATGTCCAGAAGATTTCAGCTGAGGCAGACGTGGAGCTCAACCTGGTGCGCATTGCTATCCAGAACCTGCTGTGAGTGGGACTACAGTCACATCCAGTACAAGGTCACAAGCCAGGGAAGAGCCAGGGGCCCTGAGTATGGGGGCTGGGAAGGCATAGTCCTCAGAAGCTGAGCACACCTGTCTCTCTCAGGTACTATGGCGTTGTGACACTGGTATCCATCCTCCAGGTAGGTGAGTCTCAGGTATGGTTAAGTGGAGTGAACCATGTGGCTGGGCCAGACCAGGACTATATCAGCTTCCCAAGCCACTCAATCGGGTCCCTGTGTCTTCTCTTACCCTCTAGTACTCCAATGTGTACTGTCCAACGCCCAAGGTCCAGGACCTGGTAGACGACAAATCCCTGCAGGAGGCATGTCTATCCTATGTGACCAAGCAAGGTAGTAGTAGCTCTGGGGGAGGCCATCGTGGGGAGGGCAGGGCCACCTGGCAAGCTGAACCCTGGCATCCACAGGGCACAAAAGGGCCAGTCTCCGGGATGTGTTCCAGCTGTACTGCAGTCTGAGCCCTGGAACTACTGTGCGAGACCTCATTGGCCGCCACCCCCAGCAGCTACAGCATGTTGATGAACGGTCAGAGGGGGATCCCTGGAGCATGAGGGGATTACCTGAGAGAAGGTAGACCCTCTGTGTCTGACAGGAGCCCTGGGTCAGAGAGGAAGCAGGGGATGATTCCAAGTGAGCAGAGTCACATGGCATTGCTAGTACAGGCAGGTGTCCTGGAGTTGATGGGCTTGGAGGCCAGTCTGGCCACTGAAGGGAAGACTACAGGAAAGGGTTGGCCTGGCTGGAAGGAGGCCTGGCCAGGGCATCACCCCTCTCTCCCCTGACCCTTACCCTAGGAAGTTGATCCAGTTTGGGCTTATGAAGAACCTGATTCGGCGACTTCAGAAGTATCCCGTGCGGGTGTCTCAGGAAGAGTGGAGCCACCCTGCCCGGCTTTACACAGGCTGCCACAGCTATGATGAGATCTGCTGCAAGACAGGTGGAGGCAGGCAGGGCAGTCAGGGTGGGGTCAGGGCAGGGTGGCCAAGCCAAGGCCACTGACTTCACTTCCACCACCCTACCCAGGCATGAGCTACCGTGAGCTGGATGAGCGGCTTGAAAACGACCCCAACATCATCATCTGCTGGAAATGAGGCTGGTGGTGGCCGGATAGGCACATTGTTATGGCTACTACCTCCTGCTAAGTCCTGCATGCTACATGGAGCTAGACCAGTAGGCTAGTTCATACTGTGTGGAGGTTGATCTTAGTTCTGTAAATAAAGTCATGCATTTCAACCTACCTTTATTGAGTACTGCCTCTGCCACAGGGCACCCAGCAGTGAATGAAATAGCCCCAAGCCTGGCGTGCTGGAGCGCCATCTGGTGGGTAGGACTGACAATGGACAAGTAAGGGTACCCGCTGCTAATTACAAACTGAAATAAAAAGCCAGAAACAGAGATGTGATAAAGAGTGATTTGGGGCCAGGTGTGGTGACTCACACCTGTAATCCCAGCACTTTGGGAGGACGAGGCGGGAGGATCGCTTGAGGCCAGGAGTTCCAGACCAGCCTGGGCAATATAGCAAAACCCCCCCCGCCCCCCATCTCTACAAAAAAATTAGCCAGGTGTGGTAGCATGTGCCTGTAGTCCCACCTACTCGGGAGCCTGAAGCAAAGGGAGTGTTTGAGCCCAGGAGTTCGAGAGGCCTGGGCAACAAAGTGAGACCCTATCTCTTTAAAAAAAAAAAAAGATGACAACAAGGACTGCTCTGGATTAGATGGCCAAGAAAGACCCCACTGGGATGACATAAACTGAACCCTGAAGGAAAAACAGTATTCCAGGCGAGGATGCAAGTGCAAAACCCTGAGGCAAAAACCTCTTTGGGATGTATGGGATGAACCCAAGGGAGGCCCATGCGGTTTGAACATAGGAGGCAAAGGGAGAAAGCCAAGAATTGAAGCCCCAAGTTAGGAGAGAGGGCAGGAAGTAGATCTTGCAGAGCTGCTAGGCTGCAGCTTCAGACCTACTATTTTCAGTGCCAGAGGAAGCCACAGAGCCACTCTCGTGCAAGGGAGTAATAATGTCTGATGTACACCTTTGAGACTCCTGGCAGCTCCTGAGGGTCAAAAGCAGAAGTAGGTCCAGTGAAAGGCCGCTGCAGTTACACCCAGGAGAGGTAATGCAGTCTGGATTCAGATGGAGAGAAGTTGTGGGCTCTGGGCAGTATTTCAGGAGTAGAGCCAACTAATGGAAATATGGGAACCAGGAAGCCATGAGGAGGAGCATCGAGTGGGCCAAGATGCAGGAGGAGCTAGTGGGGGGGTCAGGGTTACTTGACTTGACGTCCGAGAAGTCTAGGCCAGGGGGGTCCAGAGCTCAGGAGAGGCTCGGGGGCAGCAGCCCGTTGTGAAGGACAGAGGTCTGGTAATCCAACAAGGTTGCTATTGGCAGCCAGGCAGGTGAAGCGGGCGGGGAACCAGTCCCGACCCTGGCCAAGCCGCCGGCGGGGGCGGGGACGGGGCCCGGGCTGCACTGCGCAGGCGCAAGCTAACCCGTTTCTATGGCGACAAGGACCCACGCGCCCCAACCGCTCCACAACTGTCCTGTCCCAGACTTCGGCCCCGCAGGAGTCCGACGTCCCCGAGTGTGTCGGCACCCCGTCCTGGCTGCTGTCCGAAGTCGGCTGCACCCCAGCCCCAACATGGGCGACCTGGAGCTGCTACTGCCCGGGGAAGCTGACGTGCTGGTGCGGCGTCTGCGCAGCTTCCAGCTACGCGAGATGGGCTCCGAAGGGTGAGGCACCTGGGTCAGATGTAGTCACGGGGTCATTGTCC